CTCCGGAGGGGACTCCGAAGCAGCATTATCTTGGAATCGCTCCCGGAGGGCCTCCAAACGGCCCAAGAAAGCCCCCGAAGGCCCCCCCATAAGTACCTCCCAGCAGGTGAAGTCGGGATGCCCGAGGAGGTACTCCCACAAGAGGCCCCCAAGGGGCGGCCAGAGGACCCGCCACAGAGCGCCCCAAAAACGCCCCAATAGACCCCCAAGAAGTAATGAAGGCCACCCAGGGGCTCCAAAGCGGCGTCCAGAGTCCCCCGAACGCGCGAAAAGGGCTCCAGGCGCCAGAGGAGTTCCCTGAAGCTTCATATCGCCCATAGTAGTGGCCCCCAAGAAGCCCCCACCCCCGGGAACTTCCCCCCCCCCCCCCCCTTGGTTCGTTTATTCTCTATTAATTATCCCCCCAATAGGCCCCGATCGCCAGAGCTTAACACAATAAAGGCCCCAAGAGCGTCCAAGATACCTCCAATACGGCGCCGAAGCCAGGAAACGCAACAGGGATGTTCTCTGACGTTCTCGCCAATACGGTCTCTGACGCACGTGGTGGATAAAAAACTGCGCTTCCCGTTCTTGTCCGGTCAGGTTTTTCGTTGGCGGATTCCCCAAAATGGCCATTTCGCTCGAGACATCCTCAAAAAATCGAGGTGTGGTCTGCCGTGCTCCTGTGTGGTCTGCCGTGCTCCTGTGGTCTGCCGTGCTCCCCACAGGAGCACGGCAAACCGCGCGCAGGAACCGAGAGGAGCACGGCAGACCAAGACGAGGAGCACGGCAGACCAGGCACTGAAACCGAGAGGAGCACGGCAGACCAAGACGAGGAGCACGGCAGACCAGGCACCAAGAGCGCCCTCAAGACGACGGAAAGGATGACCAAGACGAGGAGCACGGCAGACCAAGACGAGGAGCACGGCAGACTATGCCCTAAGAGTGCCCTCAAGACGGCCGAACAATCATCAAACAAACAATGAGTCTAACGTCGTCTTGGAATCGTTTTTGAGGGCATCAGTACGGCCCCCCAAAAACAAAATCGGCCCAAAGATGACCCGCAGAGTGCCCTCAATACGGCCGACCATGACGATTTCGCTGGGGACGTGTTCAATAAATAAGAGTGTATCAGCACCGTCTGCTGCAACAACGCTGTGCTGGTCTGCCGTTCTCCTGTGGTCAGCTGTGCTGCTCTGCCGTGCTCCTGCGGTCTGCCGTTCTGGTCTGCCGTTCTGGTCTGCCGTGCTCCTGTGGTCTGCCTTCCTGGTCTGCCGTGCTGCTGCCGTCTGTCGCGTTGCTGCGCTGTGCCGTGTAAGCTGATAAACTGGTCAGACCGATGAAGAAAACGAGAGTCGGGTTACAACGGCTACACAGATTTAAACTGCTAGTCCAAAGGCTCTCCAGAGGACCCCAACATCTCCCAAGCACACCCCGAGAAGTCCATCATCATCATCCTCATCATCATCATCATCATCATCATCATCATCATCATCACCATCATCATCACCATACTCATACTCATACTCATACTCATCATCATCATCCTCCTCCTCATCATCATCATTATCATCATCGTACGCATCACCATCACCATCAGCAGCAACATGATCATCACCAACAACAGCAGCGTCAATGACATGATCTGGTCTGCTATGTTCCTATGGGCTGCCGTGCTGGTCTGCCGTGCTGGTCTGCCGTGCCGGACTGCCGTGCTCGTCTGCCGTGTCGGTGTGTTGTGCTGGTCTGCCGTGCGGGTCTGCTGTTCTGGTCTGCCGTGCTGAAGCTGAAGCTTTGGGGGCTTAAAGCCAGAGAAAGAGAGAGACATAGAGAGATAGAGAGGGAGAGAGATTCTCTAACTAAGGGGTACGAGCTCCATCCCGAAACTCGTTGGCGGTTCTCTAACTAAGGGGTACGGGCTCCATCCCGAGACTCGTTGGCGGATGACGGGAAGCGTCTTCGAGGTACGACAAGCAAGCGGGACGTTCTGGCTGAATCCTTGAGTAAATATATCTTTTCTTTAACTATATGGGTTGCTGCGCTGCACGGGATTTTTTAACGGATTCCCCAAAATGGTCTGGCGTGCTCCTGTATGGTCTGCCGTGCTCTTGTGTGGTTTGCCGTGCTCCTGTGTGGTCAGCCGTGCTCCCGTGGGGTCTGCCGTGTCCTGTGTGGTCTGCCGTGCTCCTGTGTGGTCTGCCGTGTTCCGGAAAATTGGCCGTTTCGCTCGGGACGTCCTCAAAAAATCGGCTCCGGAGGGGACTCCGAAGCAGCATTATCTTGGAATCGCTCCCGGAGGGCCTCCAAACGGCCCAAGAAAGCCCCCGAAGGCCCCCCAGAGGACCCCCAGAGCGCCCCAAGAGACCCCCAAGAGGCCCCCAAGGGGCGGCCAGAGGCCCGCCAGAGCGCCCAAAACGCCCCAAGAGACCCCCAAGAAGCCCCCCAGGGGCTCCAAAGAGGCGGCCAGAAGTCCCCCAGAACGCGCGAAAAGGCTCCAGGAGTTCCCTGAGAGCTTCATATCGCCCCATAGAGCCCCCGAAGGCCCCCCCCGGGACTCCCCCAAGAGGCCCCCGAGAGGCCAGAGGCTACGACAGCCCCAAGAGCGTCCAAGAAACCTCCAAGACGGCGCCGAAGCCAGGAAACGCAACAGGGATGCCCGCAGGGCGTTCAGAGATGGTCTCACGCTCTGCAGCAACACCATGCTTTCAGGGTCCGCGGATATTCCTTTCTGATTCGCGGCTGCCTGCTTCTTCTCTCAACGGCGGACTGCAGCAACACCGTGCTTTCATGTTCGGAGGAGTTTCCTTTCGATTCGCGGCTGCCTGCTTCTTCTCTCAATCCCGGATGTCTGTGACCCTGTACCTTACGATGTATTTAGCCTCGAGTCTGCTCCGAAGGAGCCGATGCGGACGCGTAGGTGATAGGGGAGGAAAGAGGGAGGAGGAAAGGGAGGAAGGGAGAGAGAGGGGGGTGGGCGGAGAAGGAGACAACGAGGATCATCGAATGGTCAGGGGCGGGGTGGCCAGGAAAAATGGCCGTTTCGCTCGGGACATCCTCAAAAAATCGGCTCCGGAGGGGACTCCGAAACAGCATTATCTTGGAATCGCTCGCGGAGGGCCTCCAAACGGCCCAAGAGAGACCCCGAAGGCCCCCCAGAGGACCCCCAAAGCGCCCCAAGAGACCCCCAAGAGCCCCCAGGACGGCCCCCAAGACGACCCACGGTGCCGCCAGGACGGCCCAGGATGTCCTCAGGACGGCCTCGAGACGGCCTCCAGACGAACTCGAGGATGACGGGAAGCGCCTCCGGCGTGCACCGTTGGTTCTGGGGCTTACTTTTCTCTAACTAAGGGGTACGGGCCCGCACTTCGGAACTCGCTGGCGGCGGCCTGCGGCAGCAGAGGGACGCGGGCACCCCGAGCCAGCCGGCAAAGGTCCTCTTCGCGTCGTCGTCGTCGTCGTCGTCGTCGTCTTCGTCAATAACGATCTCGAAAATTACGACAAAAAACGATGACAGAAAACGACCACAAACATAACACAAAAACCAACCGAACACGGAATCCAACAACAAAAAAACAATCAGAAAAACGACCGCAATCATAAAATGATAACGACGGCGACAGCGAGAACGGCAACAGCGGACGATTATAATGAAAACGACGACCACGACAAAGGAAAGGCACGCGACGACGACGACGGACAAACAAAAGACAAGACAGGCTGGAACAGAAAAAGTAGGCTGGGCGACAACGGGTGGGGGCCCGCGTGGCCGAGAGAAAAGCACAGTGTCGACACCATGATGTGGCCAGGGCAGCAGACTACCTCGACAGACCAGCGCGGCAGGCCATCATTTAGTCTGTTCTGTTGCGTTTATGGGTTTCTCTGACGTTCTCGCCAATACGGTCTCTGACGCACGTGGTGGATAAAAAACGGCGCTTCCCGTTCTTGTCCGGTCAGGTTTTCTCTTACTACAGGGTACCGATTGCATCCCGCACCTCGCTGGCGGATGACGGGAAGCGTCTTCGAGGTACGAGAAGCAAGCGGGACGTTCTGGCTGAATCCTTGAGTAAATATATATATATATATATATATATATATATATATCTTTAACTCTATGGGTTGCGCGGCCGCACGGGATCATTCGTTGGCGGATTCCCCAAAATGGCCATTTCGCTCGAGACATCCTCGAAAAATCGAGGTGTTGGAGGCTATCGTTTAAGACGTCTTATGTTAAAAATGACGGTTTCGCTCGAGACATCCTCAAAAAATCGGGATGTTGAAAAATATCAAAAAATTTTTGTTATGCATGAAAAATGAGCGTTTCGCTCGAGACATCCTCGAAAAAATGAGATGCCGACAGAGGTGTTTTAGAACCTCTTATGTTAAAAATGACGTTTTCGCTCGGGACGTCCTCAGAAAATGAGCAGGTGGTCTGCCGTGCTCCTGTGTGGAGCACGGCAGACCACGGCCATTTCGCTCGAGACATCCTCAAAAAATCGAGGTGTGGTCTGCCGTGCTCCTGTGTGGTCTGCCGTGCTCCTGTGGTCTGCCGTGCTCCCCACAGGAGCACGGCAGACCGCGCGTAGGAACCGAGAGGAGCACGGCAGACCAAGACGAGGAGCACGGCAGACCAGGCTTAGGAACCGAGAGGAGCACGCAACCCAAGACGAGGAGCACGGCAGACCAGGCACCAAGAGCGCCCTCAAGACGACGGAAAGGATGACCAAGACGAGGAGCACGGCAGACCAAGACGAGGAGCACGGCAGACTATGCCCTAAGAGTGCCCTCAAGACGGCCGAACAATCATCAAACAAACAATGAGTCTAACGTCGTCTTGGAAAGAGCACGGCAGACCACACAGGAGCACGGCAGACCCCACAGTAGCAAGGCAGACCCCAAAGGAGCACGGCAGACCACCGGAGCACGGCAGACCACACAGGAGCACGGCAGACCCCACATGAGCACGGCAAATCCCAAATGAGCACGGCAGACCACAAGAGCACGGCAGACCACACAGGAACACTCCGTAGCCATTTTGGCTCAAGCCTGGTCGGGCGCGCGCGCGCGCGGGCTCGAGTTCGATGGCGACGGGGAGACGGCCAGATGATCGGCTGTCTGGAGGGCATCGGCGGGCGCCGCGCGAGCGCCGTCAGGCTCAGCGTTGGGCCGCCCTCTCACGTGAGAGATTGGCGCAGAGGCAGGCAGCGCAGCTCCTGGAGCTGCAGGGCCTGGCCGAGGCGCCTCAGAGCATCCTGCGCCGCCTGGCGCTCGTTGCGCCCGTGCTTATCGCGCAGGAGAAGGGCGAGCAGCTACAGGAGGGCAGGATACTAGAGCGGAACGTCGGCTGCCACGCGCAGAACCTCCCGCGGCCTGGAGCTCCGCGGCGCGCCTGGCGGATCGCCCAGCGCGGCCCGCGGCTCCCGCGCCCGCGGTCGCTCCTGTCTGAGTCGAGGGATTTCCCGACTGGCTCGGCGGTCTCGCACGTCGCCGACGTCGAGGCCGCCCTTCTGCTGGCGGATTCCGCTGCCCGCGCCGCCGTGCACGCGGAGAGCGAGGGCCACGTGCAGCCTAGCGAGTACGTGGACACGCTGCGGCGCGATGCCGACCTCTTCTGGCCGCTTCGGCCCCCGGGACGCTGGGACGACGGCGGAGTGGTGAAGAGCGGCACCGAGGAGGTCGGCACGGGACGCACGCCGCTGAGGTCGTCTGCTGAGCCTTTCCTGCTGTCGGGCAGCGGCAGCCAGCGACGGAGCGACGAAGGCGTTTTGTGCTCTTGTGGAGCAGTTCTGTTCTCTTCCTGCCGTGCCGCCGCTGGTATTGTGGGTATTGTGCAGGCGGATGATGTGTGCCCTGGAGGTACTGCAGGCCGTGCGCCGCTGCCTCCCGCATCCGATGCTGACGGTGGTGCCACTGCTGGTGTGCCAGGCGCGTCTTGCGATGGCTCAGACGTCGACGACGTTACCCTGGACGGCGAGGCCGACGCGGACACCTCGTGCTCGGACCACACAAGCGACGGCGGGAGCGAGGGCGGCGGCGACGGGGACGACGGCGGCGCCTTCGGGGACCATGCCGTGCCCGCGGCTGGCGAGTCCTCGCCGCTGCTGTTGTCCGTCAGTGGCCGTCTGGGCGAGGCCGTCAGCCACAACGACAGCGACGACGACAGCGTAGGCGGCCAGGGGCAGGAGCATGCCGACGGCGATGCTGCTACTGCCTGCTCCGCCACCGCTGCGTCGGCGCTCAGTGGAGCGATCGCGACCTACCTCGGCGTGAACGAAGCCGCACTCCTCCGTGGAGACGGAGACGGCGGTCGAACTGCCGCGGGATTCGCTGAGCTGGCCGTGCCGACCGAGGACGCTGAGGGCGAAGTGCGGCGATGGCTCGCCGACTGGTCAAAGGTGGCTCACATTTGCTCCCTGCAGGAGCAGCTGGGGGCTGCTAAGAAGGAAGTGCAGCTCCTGCGCTGGAAGGCAGGGTGGCTGGAGATTGACTCCGTCGGGGTGAGGTGCAGGGCAGGCCTGCCGTTCGTCCTCCAAGAGTCTGGGGGCCGCCTCGCCTGGCATGAGTTCTAGGAGCGGGGGCAGGGACTTCGGCGAGGCCCGTTGTGTGTTTCAGCCCCCACGTGAGGTCAGGCCCGTTTGGCTTTGCAATGCGTGTGCTGGCCTCACCTCGAGGTTCGTGAGGCCCTTCGTCACTTGTTGAGAAGGTGGGCCTCGCGTCTCATTTGCAGCGAGGCAGACTTCCTGGCCGTGCTTTGCGTGCCTCAGTCTCCGCTGCTGTCTTGATTTCTTTGAAATCTTGCGCTTCGCGCGTTTGGCGCTTCGCGCCCTCCCCTGCGGAGGCTCCTTCGGGGCCCCTAGGGTTGGCCCTTGAGGCCCTGGGGCCAACGGGCTCCGTGGGCCTCGGGCTCCTTTTAGCCTTCATAGGCCCCGCAGCTCACAGCTCACACAGGAGCACGGCAGACTCTACAGGAGCACGGCAGACCACAAAGGAGCACGGCAGACCACACAGCAGCCCGGCAGACGCCACAGGAGCACGGCAGACGCCACGGGAGCACGGCGGAACCCACAGGAGCACGGCAGACCGCGCGCGGGTACAACATAAACGCGCCTTTTTGTTGTACCCCGAACGCCGCTGGCGTTTCCCCCACAGGAGCACGGCAGATCTCACAGGCGCGCGGCAGACCCCAAATGAGCACGGCCGACCACAGGAGCACGGCAGACCCCAAATGAGTACGGCAGACCCCAAAAGAGCACCGTAGACGCCTCAGGAGCACGGCTGACCACACAGGAGCACGGCAGACCACACAGGAGCGCGGCAAACCACAAAGGAGCAAGGCAGACCCCAAATGAGCACGGCAGTCCACACGTTCGCACGGCAGACCGCACAGGAGCACGGCAGACCGCACATGAGCACGGCAGACCAAGAAGGAGCACGGCAGACCACACAGGAGCACGGCAGACCACACAGGAGCACGGCAGACCACACAGGACACGGCAGACCCCACGGGAGCACGGCAGACCACACAGGAGCACGGCAAACCACACAAGAGCACGGCAGACCATACAGGAGCACGCCAGACCACACAGGAGCACGGCAGACCACACGTTCGCACGGCAAACTCGACCACACGTTCGCACGGCAAACTCCACAGGAGCACGGCAGACCCCAAAGGAGCACGGCAGACCACAGGAGCACGGCAGACCGCACAGGAGCACGGCAGACCACACAGGAGCACGGCAAACCAAGAAGGAGCACGGCAGACCACAGGAGCACCGCAGACGCCACAGAAGCACGGCAGACCACACAGGAGCACGGTAGACCCCACAAGAGCACAGCAGAACACACAGGAGCACGGCAGACCACAGGAGCACGGCAGACCCACTTTGGGAGGATGCCTCGAGCCAAACGCTTACTTTTGATAAACGCGATGGCCCATGATGTCCTCAGGACGGCCTCGAGACGGCCTCCAGACGAACTCGAGGATGACGGGAAGCGCCTCCGGCGTGCACCGTTGGTTCTGGGGCTTAATTTTCTCTAACTAAGGGGTACGGGCCCGCACTTCGGAACTCGCTGGCGGCGGCCTGCGGCAGCAGAGGGACGCAGGCACCCCGAGCCAGCCGGCACGGGTCCTCCTGCTCGTCGTCGTCGTCGTCGTCGTCGTCGTCGTCGTCGTCGTCGTCGTCGTCGTCGTCGTCGTCTTCGTCAATTACGATCTCGAAAATGACAACAAAAAACGATGACAGAAAACGACCACAAACATAACACAAAAACCAACCGAACGCGGAATCCAACAACAAAAAACAATCAGAAAAACGACCGCAATCATAAAATGATAACGACGGCGACAGCGAGAACGGCAACAGCGGACGATTATAATGAAAACGACGACCACGACAAAGGAAAGGCACGCGACGACGACGACGGACAAACAAAAGACAAGACAGGCTGGAACAGAAAAAGTAGGCTGGGCGACAACGGGTGGGGGGCCCGCGTGGCCGAGAGAAAAGCACGGTGTCGACACCATGATGTGGCCAGGGCAGCAGACTACCTCGACAGACCAGCGCGGCAGGCCACCATTTAGTCTGTTCTGTTGCGTTTATGGGTTTCTTTGACGTTCTCGCCAATACGGTCTCTGACGCACGTGGTGGATAAAAAACGGCGCTTCCCGTTCTTGTCCGGTCAGGTTCCGGAAAATTGCGGAAAAAATGTCACTCCGCTCAAAAAATCTGACCAAGACGCGCCCAAGACGGCCACCAGGGCTCCAAGACGGCCCAAGAGCGCTCCAAGACCGCCCTAGAGTGTTCCAAGATGCCCTAAGATGGCTTCCAGACGGTCCAAGAGAGCTCCAAGACGGCCCAGGAGGCCCTCAAGAGGCCTCCAAGACGCCTCAAGAGGCTTCGAAGAGGCCTCACAAGAACGCCAAAGAGGCACGAATCTATGATTTTTGAATAGTTTTTGAAGGTTTTTGGGGTTCTCGCCTTTTCCGTTTCCCGACGCTCCAAGACGGCCCAAGAGGCCCCCAAGATCGCCCCAAGACGGCCCAAGAGGCCCCCAAGATCGCCTCAAGACGGCCCAAGAGGCCCCCAAGACGGCCCCAAGAAGGCACCAGAAGGCCCCAAGGCGGCCCCAAGACGGCCCCAAGAGGCTTCGCGGCGGCCCAAGAGGCCGTCAATATGGCTCCTAGAGGGGGCCCAGACGAGGTACACGAACGGACTTTTCGGGTCCTCGGCCCCAAGTGCCCCCCCGGAGGGTCCAGGAGGCCCCCGGGAGCCCCCCAAGACGCTCCAAGAGGCCCCCAAGAGGCCCCAAAAAGGCTCCCAAGATGCCCCCAAGACGGCCCCAAAAAACGGCCCCCAAGAGGCTTCAGAATTGCTTCTAAGAGGCCTACGAGAAACCGACCACGACATCCCAAGGCTCCATTACGAACGATGACGTGGGCAGCTTCGAACGCCAGAGCTCCCAGTACGAACGCTGGCGTCCAGAGCTTTGACGACAAACACTGCTTTGAGCAAAAACGGCGCTTCCCGTTCTTGTGCGGTCAGGTTTCTGAACAAATGGCCGTTTCGCTCGAGACATGCTCAAACAATCGGCCCCGGAGGGGACTCCGAATCGACATCGTCTTAGATTCGCTCCCAGAGGGCTTTCGAACGGACCACAGGAGGCCCAAAAGACGACCCGGCGGGCCCCGAGAGCGCCTAAGAGCGCTCCAAGAGGACCCCAAGAGACCCCCAAGAGCGCTCCAGGAGGCACCCAGACAGCTCACCAGAACCCCAAGACGATCCGAGACGGGCCAAGAGGGCCCCAAGAAACTCCTGGGAGCGCCCCATGAGGCCCCCCCAAAGGCCCAGGAAAGCCATAAGAGGGCCCAGTATGGCGCCGACACGGCCCCCAAAAAGGCTCCCAAAGAATGCCACGACGCGCCGAGACAGCACCAGAAGACTCTGGACGCCCACAGGAGGACCCAGGACGCCTCCAAGAAGCCCTCAACAGGCCACAGGACAGCCCCGCGCCCAGCGCCAGGGTCCCCCAGGGTAGCCCGATAGGGTCACCAGGACCCTCTCCTCATTCAACATCCTTCTCGAATTGCCTCTTACAGTCCTCCGTCGTCACCGTCGTCTGCGTTGTTGTCGTCGTCATCGTCCTCCGCAGTTCTCCTCGTACTCGCCCTCGTTCTCTTCGTCCTTGTTGTGCTTCTCTTCCTCCTCGTTGTCCTCATGCTCCTTCTCGCTATCCTCACGTTCTCCACGTCGTCCTCGTCATCGCCTCCTCGTCGCCCTCGCCATTCTTATCTTCTTCGCCCAATAAGCCCATTGGACTAAAGCGGTGCTTTTCGTTTTTGTCTGACCAGCTTGCGTGCAGTATGCGCAGATATCAGTGGGTTGGATGTTTGCACATGTGCGTTCATGACTTACATGTGCTGGTATACGTTTGATCATATGCGCCCCCGTCTATTGAACGGTCCGTATCTATCTCATACTTGCCTCTGTCTCCTGTATTCCGTTCACAGGGGTTTGGATTCTTGGTTGTCGAGTGCATCGTGCATGAGGTATGTTCTCTCCGACATCTACATTAGTGGTTCGAGCTTTGTGTACACGGCGTGTACCCTGTTCATGGGGAGGGAAGAGCTATGATCAGGCTCACAGCGCTCTTTTTCTTGTTGTGCCACAGGGCTCTTGCTGTGAAGCTGCCACTTTCTGTGACATCGTGGTGCGTATTCGGTGAGTCTTGGAACGCTGCGCAGGATGAGTACATGCAGCTACCCCTTCTAAATTCTGGGCGCCGAACGACGGTGAATCGTGCCGCATGTACACTCCCGAAGCAAACTTTAGCCAGAGAGCTTGCAGGCGATGGAGATCTGGGACAGTGCGTCGAAACATAGTCCTGAGTATCGAAGACGCCTACGGCGAATCACCGCCGCCCCCTGCCTTTTTGGAAGCGCCTATGTGGTCGAACGTTGAGGCCAGACCTGCCAAGCCATCGGACCATGTGTTCCCCGAATCGGTTCGGAAAGCCTTCGGGGAACACGTGGGCATCTTGAAGGTCATCTTGGCCGTCTGGAGGCCATTTTGACCCTTTCAGGCCTTCTTGGAGGACGTCTTGGAGGGCTCTTGGGCCGTCTTGGAGGCCATCTTGAGCGTGTTGGAGACCTCTTGGGCCGTCTTGGGGGCCTCTTGGGGCCCGTGTCTTGGGCCTCTTGGGCGATCTTTGGGGGCACTTGGGCCGTCTCGGGCCGTCGGAAGGCAGGAAAAAAACAAATACCACAATCCTTCAAAACCCTTGGGAAATCAATGATTTTGTCCTTTTCGGGCCTTTCTGGAGGCCCTCTTGGAGGCCTCTTGGGCCGTCTCGGGCCATCTTAGGGCCATGTTCGGCCGTCTTGTTGGGCTCCTGGTCCGTCTGACGCCGTCGGAAGCCGTTTGGGGGCCTCTATGGGCCGACTTGGGGCCCTCTTGGAATGCTCCAGGGCCGTCTTGGAGGCCCATCTTGGGCGTATGAAAAGCCTCCTGTGCCGTCTTGGGGGCCTCTTGGGGCCCTCTTGGGCCGTTCTGGGGCCATCTTGGATGCCTCTTGGGCGATTGGGCCATCTTTCGGCGATCTTCGGGAGCTCTTGGGCCGTCTCGGGCAGTCGGAAGGCCGAAAAGAAGCAAATGTCAAAATCCGTCAAAATCCGTTGGACAATCAATGTTTTGGGCCTCTTCTGGCCTTCCTGGATGCCCTCTTTGGGGCCTCTTGGGCCGTCTTGGGCCAGCTTCGAGCCAATTTCGGCCATCTGGGTGGTTTCCTGGCACGTCTGACGCCGTCTGGAGCCGACTTGGGGCCCTCTTGGGGCGCTTCGGGGCCGCCTTGGAGGCCATCTTGGGCGTCTTGGAGGCCATCTTGGGCGTGTTGGAGGCCTCTTAGGCCGTCTTGGGGCCCTCTTGGGGCTGTCTTGGAGGCCACTTGGGCCGTCATGGGGCGATCTTGGGGCCCTCTTGGGGCCGTCTTGGAGGCCACTTGGGCCGTCATGGGGACCTTCTGGGGGCCTCTTGGGCAATCTTGGGGGCCTCTTGGGCCGTCTTGGGCCGTCGGAAAGCCGAAAAGGCGCAAATGCCAACATCTTTCAAAACCTATGGAAAATCTATGATTTTGCCCCTTTCGGGCCTTCCTGAAGGACGTCTTGGAGGGCTCTTGGGCCGTCTTGGAGGCCTCTTGCGGGCCTGTTGGGCCGTCGTAGACCATCTTGAGGCCATCTTGTGCCGTCTTGGAGGCGTCTTGGGGCCATCTTAGCCGTCTTGGAGGCCATCTTGGGCCGTCTTGGAGACGTCTTGGAGACCATCCTGGGCCATCTTGGCCGTCTTGGACGCCATCTTGGGCCAACTGGAGGAAACATAGGCACGACGGATGCGTTTTGAGCGCCTTTCCGGGTGGCCGGCGGGACGGGCCGAATCCCCAGGGGGAGTTCTTTTGGAAAAAGAGCCAAAACCAAAACCGAGAGGGTCCAGCACGCCAGGCACTTTTTTGATGAATCAACAGGGGGCGGCGGATTTAATGGCCTTCGGCCCATTTCGCCACCGTGTCTGGGCTGTGTTTATGAAGCCTATTGGTTGTTCGTTGGGATCTCGTGGGAGGCCTCTCGGGGGCCTCTTGGAGGCCGTTTGGAGGCCTCTTGGGGGCCTCTTTTGGACCTCTTGGGGGCCTCTTGGCGCCTCTTGGGGGCCTCTTGGGGCCTCTTGGGAGCCTCTTGGGGGCCTCTTGGGGCCTCTTAGGCGCTTCTTGGGGTCTCGTGGGGGCTTCCTGGGGCGGAAGGCTTGGATTTTCGGTTCGTGTTCCCTCTCTTGGGCCCCTTTTAAGGCCGCCCTGGGGCCCTCTTGGGCCGTTTTTGGGGTGGTCTTGTGGGCCTCTTGGGCCGTCTGGGAGCGTCGGAATGCCAAAAGGCAAGAACGCCCTAATCTCTCAACAACATAAGGGCAACCACTGAATTTTGCCTCTTGAGGCCCTCGTGGGAGGCCTCTTGGGGGCCTCTTCGGGCGTCTTGGAGGCCTCTTAGGCCATCTTGAGGCCATCTTGGGCGTC